GTATCATATTTGAAAACGCTAATATCCCGAACCAAGAAGAAACTTGGGATCCGTGTTGTGTCCTGCACTACCATATACAATCGAATCGAATTTACAATTATTTTTGAAAAGAATCTAAGGAGATGTTTTATTACCTTGATATCTTTATTTAAATTTTTTTATAAGAAAGAAAAACAATTTATTTTCTATATCTCTCTTGTAGGTTCATTTCTTAAATTTTGGTACATTAACGAAAAAAAGTCGATATATTGTATAATACATTATTTTATTTAGATAATATGTTCTAATATTAGGGTATGCATAGACAATGCAAGTCCCGATGCTAGCGCGATTAATAACGAGGACGACGTCGATAAGGCAATTTATTTTGCCGCAATGTCACGGACTACCGTTACTTTAGCAGCTGTTGAAAGTTCCGACGCGCGTCTAGATTCGAGGCGGTGAGATGTCTGAACTGTTCAGCATTCCAGGATTCCTATCTTCAGCTTGTCTGTTCCCCAGGTTAAGTTTGCCCGCTCAAATAAATCGTCCGGCACGATTGTCGGACAAGTATCTCTTATGACGCTTGAGAAAAAGTGTCCCTCTGCTCGCGCGTGAATAAGATGTAATGTTTTTTTTTTACGTTTCTTAATGGCTAGATTTTCAAGAATAAGACACTGCCAATTTATATGTCGAATTATAACAATCTTAAAACGTGTTCGCGTTAATTTAATTAGTCAAATTAATTTTCTAAATATAAATTTTTATTCTGGGAATCACATGCGAGAATATCGACGACGACTGGAATGAATCTTCGAGGCATTTAACCTGAAAGTTTATATGAGTATGCTGATTTTATTCTCTCCAGCTCGTGTTGATAGTTTTTCAGAAAGACTCGGGCAATTGAATTAACATATTCACTTCGCATTTCATTAACGTACGCGGTCTGCGGTCGCGTATCGAGAGATATTACACGGGTAACGAAAATTCCGATGACGTAATTCGTGCGATATTTACTGTGTAAGAGGAGCAAACCGGGCGAACCGTTAACCACAGAGGAGGATATGTTTTATGCCCCGACCTCGCCTCGCGAGGGCAAGTACGATCTTTAGACGCATAACAACGCGGACGCGCAGCAATGCGAGATGATTTCACGAAAGTATAAGAGGAGCAAGCTGCCCGAATATTTGAGGTTGCACAAAATTGTACAAAAATTTCATTAAATAAAATAGTCTCGTAAATGTAAAAAAAAAAGAGAAAAAGTTAACAGGGTGTTTACCGGTCAGGGAAATCTGGAAAACCGAAAATTGTCAAAGAATTTTATAAATCTGGAATTGCTAGGGACAAATCAGGAAATTTTACTATTTATCTGGATTGTTTCACATTATTCTATACATTTGTCTCAATAATTTGAAATTTTTTATTAAATAAATATTAACTTTTTCTTGACTCCCAGCACGCAAATTTTCTGGGTTGTTAAAAAGCGATTTATCTACAACATTCGTTAATTTAGATTTTCATTGTTGTGTTATTTTATTTCAATGTCTTTGATAGAGACAAAAATTTGATATAAATTAAAAAGATGATTATTTAAATAGTTTATAGTGATATGATTGTTTCGACTATCATACATAATGCAGATTATATAATTAATTTAAATTTTTGTTTTAACTTCCAAACCTTTTCATTGAAATATCTCAAGGATTTCATGATTTAACATTTAATTGATTTATCATATAGATATATGCAAATTATATATTTGGAAAAAATAATACTAAAAATTCAGATATAAAAGTAATTTCTGGTCTTGGAAAATCTGAAAAAGTCAGGACATTTTTTTCATTCAGGCTGCTGAACACCCTGATTAATAGTATTCGATTATATTTATAGAAAATTGTTCGAGCAGGTCACGTGTTTTTGCAATATTTTTATTATCGAGCAGAGAGCTATTCTAGTGATATTTTCTTATATTTTTAACCAGGCTCTTTCATTTTTCAAGAATTTAATTGCTAATTGCGATAATTAATTTTGTCATTATTTTAGGGTCTGCATTTAGATATCGTAACTTGACGTTAGGTCACGTGTTTTTGCAATATTTTTTATTATCGAGCAGAGGGCTGTTCTAGTGATATTTTCTTATATTTTTAGACAGACTCTTTCATTTTTCAAGAATTTAATTGCTGCTAATTAATTTCATTATTTTAGGGTCTGCATTTAGATATAATTTTAGTCATTAATATTTATTATCGGGTTATCATATTTTAGATCTTTCATCTTAAATTGACGTTTAGGTCATGGGTCATTTAGATAATTGACGTTTTGCAATATTTTTTATTATCGAGCAGAGGGCTGTCCTAGTGATATTTTCTTATATTTTTAACCAGGCTCTTTCATTTGTTGAAAATTAGAGGGAGATATAGAAGCTGCAACGTGGGGGCAACGAGGAGACAGCTCTGCGAGATGATTATTCTTGGTCACTTTGGACCGCGACGGTCCCGTGCTTCGTAAATTTTATCCGCGTACTTTCGTGCTCTCCTTCGCTTCTTTACGATTTTTTTCTCTCGGAGCAAGAGCCCGGTATACAACAAGACGAATGGTTACAACTTACAACTGATGCGCATACGATGATTCATCCGCTTTGAGTCAGCCGTCGTACGTTGACCCATTTATCTCGATGAGGAATCCACTCACGAGGAAGAAGCGCCGATCGGGGTTGACAACGTCTCCCTGGTGTCCTCGATACTCGATCTTCGCCGCTGCGTTGTGTTGGTTCGCCTATAATTTTACTGATGTGAAACTCCGGCCCGAGGCGATCGCCAATTGTAGTCCGCAATCCCAATTGAATCTAGCCAAGTGAATGCAACGAAAATGTCTTTAAAAAATATGATCTCTATTGGGTAATATATTTTTTTGGTACAAATTAGTAAAAGTTTACTTATTAAAAAAAATACATTAGAAGAGAGACGGGCAGAATTAGTTAGTTTGATAAATTTGATAGTTTGATTTAATCGAAAGATGCATTTGTGAAGGCTTCCATTACGTTTCTCGACCTGCATTTCTCCAACATCTTAGGTTTCAAAGGAGAGATTTCTGATGAACGCGATATTAGATATAATATCCCATTACATGTGAAAGGTGCTGACTGAGACTCCGAATAATTTACGCTTGTCCATATAGTTATAGTTATTATTCTCATCATTAAACATCATTTTCCCTCGGAAAAACTATCGTTCGTCTTCTTCGCAGATAAATCTCGCAAAGTGTCTTGAAACTCAATAGTGAAAATGTCGCGTACACACTTTGTTGCGAAGTAACGGAACGATTATCTCGAAAATTGTGTCTCTCTTTTTTCTTCCCCGTTATTTTTTTCCTTTTTAAATCCCGTTCCACGGCTGCTGCAATCGCGGACACGCTTCGGGACGAGAGATATGCGTGACGAGTATGGCGCCGAGGCGTTAGAGTCATCACGAAGAGAGAGAGGGGGACCACGATGTGATAAGGATCACTCGTTGTGTGACCAGAATTACATATTATTTTCTCTGTGAAATAATGCGTGCGAGGCGAGGAGGTTCTGGGAGAGTGTCATCCAGAGCTCGCTATACATTTCAATAAGGCTTGGGCAATTACGACGCGGATTTTTCGTAACGAGCGTTTCAGGACTTAGCCGGTGGTCGTCGCCGAGCACTATCAATAGTTAACTTTATGGTTTTGTACGTATTCAAAAAATTACTCGCTCAATTTATGCGAATTAATATCCAACTTTCTATTAAAATATATTTTCTTTCGTTAGGATGTGTTTATACAGATTGCGCCAACTTTTATAGATGAATTTGAATATTAAGTAGGTAATAAAAAAATTTTTCTCAATATCAATAAGCATACATACGTTTAAATTAAAATCGAAAAGTTACTTGATTTTTATTTTCTTCTATCTCGAGATATTTAAAGTGTTTTTTTATTTCTTATTTTTTATCTCAATGTTCAATATAATTTGCTTTAATACTTTAAAATGAGTTAAATCTCTATCGAATTTATTTAACTCATTTTTATCGAAAGATCTTTTAAACCTCCAAGGAAACTGTTCGTTTATCTATTTCTAAAATAGAAGCTTAATTTTTATATAAATTAAATCTGTTGCATCTTCTCGAATGTAAACAATAAGAAAATTGCAGTTAAAAATGAGATAGAAATTTTTTAATCAATAAGATTAATATATATCTATTTTAGATTTGATAATTATTTCAAAAATATTAATTAAGCTAAACTAAAGACAATCGGATATTTATATCTGCAGATATTGAGATGAGACATTAGTCGATTTTCAAGAATTATATTTATTCTAAAGTTATATCTCATCGAACGAATCTCCTTTGAGTTTGAATTAGTTATTAATATTAAGTCATGCATTAGAATCGCGCGCGCGCTATTAGACTGAAGTTGCCGCTGTTGATAGAATAGCGATAGCTTCTGCCATTATCGAAACGCCGCGAGTACCAGGCAGTGCGAGCTGCGTCCCACTGTGATTAATTAGTAAGCACAATCATTTCTAATTTTTGTTTTGTAATATTCATTAATCGCAGATCGTAATTTCAACGTTCATATATAGTTGTAATTGTTCGAAACGCGTATTTCGCCAGAAATTCGATGCAAAATCTGTGCCAATGATCAACATAACCCAACATCGAAAAATAGCGCCAAGAGGGTTCTCTTAATTTAAGATGATATTCTTAATTTATTCTTATTTTTAGAGAAAATATACTAAAATTTAGAGAAATTTCTTAAATTAAGAGGATTCTCTTGGCGCTAAGAGTACAATTTTTTCGGTGCACCTAACCTGATCTGATTTGTTGCGATCTACGAATATATCTATCGTCAATTCTAGCTTATTTATAATTAAATTAAATTAAGAAGCTTTTTATACATTTATAAATAGCTTATTTATAATTAAATTTATATCATGTACGTTCGAATGCGAAATAATAAGATTGCTCTAATATATGTATGCATTTTATTTGTTACAGGTAGCATGATAAGCCGCGCGCGAACGCTTTGACTGCTAGATTCTCGAGTGTCGAACGGATGTTGTTTCGTGCGATTATAGTTTTTTCTATTTCACGCGTCGTGTCGGGAATGCCGTGCAAAGTTTCGCGCGTCGAGAGTACCGCGTAAAATGTCGGACGATCGTAATTATTCGTGTCTTCGCGAGTATCGTGAGTGCTACCAAGAGAGGAGGAGGAGGCCCAGGGAGGCATCAGGCGACGTCGGGACAACTATGAGGTATGCAGAAAAAAAACATTTTTTTCTAAACTGCCAAACACACACATGCACACAAATGTATATACATAATTTAAATATTTTGTTTTCAGATCAACGTGCTACTCCGCTATTGCGCCAGTCGGTGAGTGAGAAATTAATTTTATAACATTTCTAAAGCGATAATGGTTTGTACCTATAAAAATAGGTTTCTACTACTTTAAATAAACGGACTTGTCGACCGTTATCACGATCTTTATACAAATCGTAGTTAATAAACGACATGTGCGTTCGACCCTTAATTATCAGGTAATTAGCGTGTCGTTTCCGCGTTCGTATTAGGTGCGCAACTAAGTTCCCGCTGTTTGTCTATAGATGGCTCCAGCAGTAAGTGCTGGTCGATTTTGACATATCCAAAACGTCACGAGCCAAGCTTAGACATATGGTAAACAAACCGCTTTGAATTTTAATTATTTTATTGTGGAGATATACGTTCGTCATGGCCATGTTGATTTACGATTCGTCGAAGAAATGTGATTTTCCATTTCATCAAGAAACGGCCGTTCGCATGAAAGAGTCCGTTCACGATGGAAATAAAAATGCCGAACTATAATTTTGAAATGAAGTTTTTATTTTGAATCTGAAAAAGCAAAGTGAATTTTAATTTAAATTTTTCGACAAAATTATGCAAGATTAAATAGTCTTCAAAAAAATTGACTGTTTTAAAATATCAAAAGATGAAATTAAAAATTGATAATCACGATCGATAACGATGAATTTGTCTGAAATCATTCGTTTTTCTTACAAGAGATAGCGCGCCTTCGTGGTGGCCATTTTTTACGATTCGTCGGATCGAAATCAGTGATTATCCATGTGCATCACGATACTGCACGTTCGCAATAATAGAGTCGCGTGCACGATGGAAAATAAAAATGCTCTAACTATAATATAAATTGAAATGAAGTTTTTATTTTGAATCTGAAATAAGCAATAAGTGAATAGTTTACTATTTAAATTTTTCGACAAAATTATACAAGATTAAATAGTCTTCAAAAAATATCTGACTGTTTAAAATATCAACAGATGAAATTAAAAATTGAAAATAGGAGAAAATGAATTTATTAAAATCATTCGTTTCGCTTAACAAAATCGGCTTCTTCCTTTTTAATAAAAAAATAATAAAAATAAAAAGAAATATAGTGACAAGATTGAAAAAATCACTTTCGATCATCTAGAATTGTAAAAAAATCTTAATTACAAGATTGTACATATTAATATTATTTTATACAAATAGTTTCTTTACACAAGCACACAAAATTATAAAAAATTCTCTTCCAAACTTGATCGCGATATAGAGTTTGTCTCTCTCTCTCTTTCTCTTTAAATCGATATACCTAGATCAATCATCTAGATAACAGTTTCCTAATATACGAAGCGCAAAGCACGCGGTGTCCTCGGTTAGTTTGAACGACATTAGCGAACTCCTTCGTATCGAGACAGCGGATCGTTTTATGTAGCAAAGCAGGAAGGGTGAGTTTCATGTGCGCCTCTGCGTGGCTCTAGGTACATGTGTGTGTGTGTGTTGCGCGGATCCTATAAAATAAAATAAAGTATAGGTACATACGGTAGTGTATACCAGGAGGCGACGGACGAGAGGGGTCAGTACCGTGCTGCTGAATAAAAAAATAGCCCCATTAATTCGTCGGCTTATGTCTCGCAGTCACACGTTCTCACAGCGAGGGTGTCACGCGACGCGTGTCACCTTTGTGTGCGTGTACGTGTTACTCTTTTTATGTCGCTGACCAAAATTCGAGAATCATGCTACGCGAACGACATCGCGATCATCGAACGAGCATTCATGAACAATAAGCTTTTAAGGATATTTGAAGTATCTCGTTTTATTCATTTTCTCCCTTTTGTGTTTCTGAATTATAATTAAAAACGTAAAATACTTTTTTTCTAAATGTTGTGCGAAAAAGAATAACAAGAGATATATGTTGACGAAATTTTGGAATCTCGGGGAAAAATATATGTACTTTATTTATTTCGTTGTCGCATGTTCAGGCGATAAAAAAGTTATTATAAAATGTTTAATTCTACTTTGTTGTAAATTCTGTTTACATTTTTCATAACACATTTACAGATATCTCTTTTTCGAAATTTAACAAAAACATTCTCACACTCATAAATTCTCTAACAATTAAATTGCATTCGATTCGAGAGCGTGAAAATCCGTCGTGAAAACGCAAATCCACAAATGTCAAAAGTAAATATATCGGCCACGTGGTCTCTTTCGCGTTTTACACAAATTACTATCTGTCAGAATGTTTCATTCCACAACGGAGGAAAATATAAGAGATGCCGCTCACGATTTGGTCGTCGGCCAATTTTATCGTAGATAGATTTGAGAATTATCAGGCGATATCGTGAAAAATCGTCGACGCGCGATGACATAATGCATATGCAGCTCGGTGCATACTGATGCGCGTGCGCCGAATAGCTCGAGGATCCTTGTACATATAACCCCATCGTTTCTTCGTCACCGCATCTTCTTTCGTTATTTTACAACGATGTCTTTTACGTGATTCGTTTCGATTATGGATTATATGATAAAACGACGCTTTACGGCCGCGATTTGATGTTACGGCGAATGATGCCCGTGAGTTTTGCACATAAATCGTCCAACTTCTTCAAACGTCGCGTATAATATATGTGTGATACGATATACACGTGGTTGATGATTTCCTTGGAATTATGCTAATTGCGTTCTTCGAAACACGCGCTTCTGTGTCGAACCGTGTCGTGATGCGATCCTCAAACGTGCGGAATTTTTGGTCGCCGATGTTATCGGTTTCGCAAAAAGAATCGATAAGCCGACAGCTGTGTCGAGCGAGCACGCGATTAGCGAAACAAGATAATTCATTTTAAATTCATTTCAATTAGAATTAAGGTATCGCAAAAATTCTCCATTCATTTTGATTATCGAGTTTGAGTTTATCGATACGCATTACGCATAATTATATTCCCCTCTATTTTCAACCCCGGTTTATTTCTTCCTGTTATATGCAAATATATACATTAAATTCTCCCATCATTTGTCTAAGATCGTAAACTAGATATGATCTAACTTGCTCTTGGTACGCACCGAATGTTTTTGAAAGACTGTGACATTTGAAATAGTACACAGTATGTAAAATATTAGAATAATCTAGATCTAAAAACCTGCTTATTCAAAAACTCCCGGAAGATGCTTGTCGCGTTTATAATCTAAAGATCACTTATGTGAAAAATTTACAATCGTTCTCTCAACAAATAATTTTACGAGTTACAAAATGAGAATAAAACGTTATTTTAGCATTAATGTGAGAGATGTTTCGATTTGATATCGTGGTTCGAAACGCGATATACATATATTTTCGTACAATGGGATTTTATTTTAATAAATACGTAACGTAACTTTTCATATCTTTAAGAATTATAATTTTGAAAAATCCTATAAACTATATATATTTCTACTAATTATATATATTTTCCTATAAATATAATTTTATAACTATAATAATATATATTATAATAATATATATAAACGAAGAATTATATAATCGTTAAAATAAAATTCTATTTCACGAAAATGAGTACACGTTTCGAATATGAATTCGAATATAAATCGCAAATTGAGTCGTATTAATGCTATAAAGCAATGTTCTAATTTTATATAGCTCCTCAAAATTCTCCTACACACCTAACTTTAATTTTCTCATCTTTATGAATTCCTGACAATTTCTGTCGATTTAATTTATGCATAGGAATTAAACTACTTGTACCTGTAAATTAGTAAATGAATGTACATGAATTCAGAGATTTAAAGGAGATATTTGTAATAAAAAAATAGGTGTCAGATTGAAAATTGAGATAAAAAATGAGAAAAAAATGTCGACTCTGCAAACCACATATCATATTATATGTAAGAACGTGATGATTCTTAGAAACGAAAAATCATATTACGATAAACGCGGCGGCACACTGAATATTCGACGGAATGAAAACGCAGCGGGCGACGGCGCATTTTCATGCGCGCGTTTATCCCGTCGAGGCGTGAAGACGTTACTCAAAATGTACAGCCATTAACGGTTGGCATCCTACGGAAACTGCCGTCCCTGAATTAACAAGTACTCGAATGTGCGCCCGTACATCACACGAGGTGTCACATCGCCGCTTCAGGGAATCGTTTCCCCCGATCTCGGAAGCCGTTCACGAAGCGAACCGTGCATTCGGGAGGGGCACATGCGCGCGATTAACATTTTAAATATGCAAGGTCTCGTCAACGAAACCCGTCGAAAACATTACATTGTCACGAAGCTGTTGTGATCGCACTTGTCGTGTATTAATTCTGAAAGCGCAACCAGATACATATTATAAATCTCTTAGTATTTCTATTTTTACGCACAAGAAGTTGGAACAATATATAATATTAATTAATACTTTATATTTTATTATTTGATTTAATAATATTATTTTTTAATATTAAATGCGTTTTTGTATAATATTTTCGAGAATAAACTCCTCGTAAATCTTTGCGTATTGCCATTCGGATGAAGAATATTTCTATCTCTCGTTATCAGTTTTTTTACCACTACTCTGTGTTTACCCAGATATATAATTATGAATTTAATCGGCGATCGCGATTCGGCGCGATCGGCGCGCAAAAACGGAGTATTATTAGCAGCGGTCTCTCGACGTTTAACACGTAAAAATTATCCGGCCGCGTTATTAACGCGTGACAAGCGCGGCGCGCACGTGTGTATATGTGTCGACGGGATTACAGCGAGAATAAATTTGAAAAAAGTTACACGCGCGGAAATTAAGGGCGCCGCGCGTCGATTTGCGAACAAGGTGGCGATTGGCGGCGCACTTACGGTAATAATTAAGATCGGTCGCGATAGGCATCGCGGTATTTATCCAATTCGACGAAATACACGTGGACGTACATACACAGGCGCACACGCGAATTCAGCCGCATTGCGCAAGGGTAAATGTTTTACCAATGTTAATGTTCATATCGCGACGACGTGGCGCGATAATCGAGCTCGTTAACGAGTCATTAACTCGGCAACAAACTCCGCTGGCGCGTTGACTGAATTATGC